CAAGAACATGAGCCCAGGACCAATGCTGATAAAGGTATGAGTGTGATTACAAAGCGGCTGTTCAGAGTCAACCTACCTCTCGCCTGTGGTTCCCAGAGCACGGTGGTCCCCTCTCTTCAGTGTTCACACCTGTTTCCTCGACGCCAGCCCAGGCCATGTTTCCGCTCAGGACACCAGATGCCGAGACATTTCCCCAGGTGGGGAGCAGAGCAGTAGGATGGGCGCTGATGCCAGGATGCTCTGTACCCGAGGGAGAGTGCCCCTGGACTCCATCCTGACCCATATCCTCATCCCAGGATGGCCCTTGGATGCTGGCAGGCTTGTGCCCTGGCAGCTGAGCCACCTGGACGGCCTTGTCCACAGCTCCCACCTGGTTGCACTGCCCCCTGATCTCCCCAGACCCCATGTTTGGGTACACCCCTGTCATAGTCATCTGCTCCAGCATTTGGACTCTGCAGAGAAGCCTCATGTTCTGTGCCTGAAGGCCCTGGGTTACGTCTTCCATGGCCAGCACAATGTCCTGGAGCAGCCCTTTATAACTGGTCCTGAGCTCGGACACCAGCGTCCAGATCTGGGTGTTCTCCCTCAGGGCATGCTCCAGCCTGCCCTGGACCCTCTGCCTGCTCTCGGACATCTCTCGTTTAGTCTGGGCCAGTTTCCCCCGGAGGACCTCCTTCTCCTCGTCCAGCTTTGAGATCCTGAGATAGTTCTTCCCATTGCAGTCCTCCAGGTCGGAAATGAGCTGTAGGTACTGCTCCACCTCGGTCCGCAGGTGAGCCACAGCTGCCGACAGCCTACTGTTGTCCTGCTGAAGATCAGAGACCCTCTGCTCCTGCCTTTCCCGCTCTCGCTCCAGGGTCTGCACCTTCCGGTGACTCCTCTCTTGATCACCACGAAGCCGGGCATCACCCCATAGAACCGAGCTCCTCTCGTTCCTCAGGCGAGTGAAGAGCAGGTTGCACCGAGTCCTCATTTGCTCCAGGGCTCCAGAGAGCCAGTCCTGCTCCAGACCCGTACTGTCTGGCCTGGGCACTGCTCTTGGTGGCATCTTCCAGGCCCTCAGGGACCCAGCCCTTCCTGGCACAGCCTCCTTGCCCACTTTCTTGGGTGCTGTTGCTTCCTCAGCAGCACAAACATCCACAGTGTAGCTCACTGAAGCATGCGACGTGTGAGCCCCATCCTCCAGGCTGGGCCACTTGCGGGCAAAACTCCAGTTTTCTCCAGACGGCATGGACGTCTGCCTCTGGACACCCCAACTCCCCACTGGCAGCGTAGACAGATGCTGGATACACGCGGCCATCTCCCCCTCCAAGGCATCTATCTCATTTAGGTACCAGTCACCATCTGTACTGGGAGCCCCGGAGCCATTGGCAGACCGAAGCCAACCTTGCTCCTCCATCAGGCAGAGCGTGTCCCTGCCATCACAGCCATTAACAGGCAGCGACTCCAGCACATCCATGCCACCTGGGCCGGCCCCCACTTGATGCTGCTTCTCTTCCTGCCCCTCCCACAGATGCTCAGCTTGTCCAGTGCACACCTGTTTCTCCTCCTTGCCCTCCTCCCCTCTCCCACCTGCTCCATCTTTCTCTGCCCAGAGCTGACCACCTGGTTGCAACGTCTCTTCAGTCCTGTGAGCCCTAGAGAGGATGGCTGAAGGGCTCACCTCCTCCTCTGACCAGAGCCCACCAAGGCGGTCCCATGCTTGTCCTTGCACCTCTACCTTCCCGCTGAAGGACAAGGGGCTCCCCTCTGGCCCTGGGGGCTCTGCCAGCCTTGCTGCCTCTGACCGGGGTTTCTGTGCAGAGACTAGGGCTCCAGGTGTTTCCGGATGCCATGGGCACTTGAATGTGGGGCAGACCAGACTCCTCACTGCCCCACTCTGCTCCACGCTCCACCCTGGCAGTGTGACCCCCTCAGTTAAAGTTTTCATTAGACCTCCCCCTGGACATCCAGCATTTGGAATTGGAGGGGACTCATCGTGGAGTTCGGCATTGTCCCATGCCTGGTGGTGGTCTCTGCAGCAGTGCCTCACAAATTTAGGAGAAAGCAGGTGTCTGGCACCCAATCCCTCTTGGATTCGCTGTGCTTCTGGGGAAGGCTCTGGGATCAGCAGCAGGGTTAGGGGGGTTGGCTCTTCAATGGACCCCCAGAGAAGGGGAGAGGATGTCTGTGTCAGGGTGAAGGGCCCCGAGGCTGAGGTGGTTGCCAGGTTTTGCTCTGAGGACTGGGGTGAGCCTTCAATACATTGCACAGGGGCACAGCCACAAAGCAAGAGGAAGTCTTGTTCCTCCGGCGGGGGCACAGCCAGCACAAGCTGTTGGTGGAGAGAAAAGGTGAGTCAAGCTCCACACTGACAGTACAGACTGTACGGCCAATGTGAGCACCCATCTCCCCTGGCCCCCACACCATCAGAACACACAGTCGGTGAGACCCTCCACCCTTCTGGACCCCACACCATCAGAACACACAGTGGGTGAGACCCTACACTCCTCTGGACCCTACACCATCAGAACACACAGTGGGTGAGACCCTCCACCCTCCTGGTCCCCACACCATCAGAACACACAGTGGGTCAGATCCACTGCAATAGAAGAAATCTTGGCTCACCTGCTCACATTCTGACCCTGTGAGGTCTCCCAGAAGCACACTCAGGGTCTCTGGGCCTTTCACCAAAACTGGAGGGTATTGCTTAGCCCTGGTGCAGGGTCCCTCGGTGACCTGGCCTGAGAAAAGACAGAGCCCATGGGTTACAGATACCACCACCCACCGCGAGGTTCCCAACTAGAACAGACAGGATAGCTTCTCGCTGATGAAGGCCTGCTATCCACCCACCCCTGTCAGAGGGGGAAACTAAGGCTCAGAGACAGAGTCTGGGACCCCAGCCATTTGACCCCAGAGTTCTCACACTCTCTGAGCAAGTGGTCAGTAACTCCAGCCCCATCCAGCCCAGCTCTGCTCTACCCCAGCCCCTGGTCAGCCCCAGCTCCAGCCCCAGGCTACCCTAGTCCAGCCCCAGCCCCAGCCTCTGGCCCAGCCCCAGTACTAGGCCTAAGCATCCATAGTTGACCTAAGGATTTGGGCCTGAGCCCAGATCCCTGTAGATGGCCCTACAGCTGGGTGACATTGGGTTGTGACACCAGTGCTTGGAATCCTAAGAGATGGCCTCATGTTGCAGGACAGTGTGAGCACTGAGTGGGCCCCTCTGAGTGGGCTCTGCAACTTGGCCTCAAGCTCCACCCTCCTCTCGAGGCCATCTGATTCTCTCCCCTGCCTCAGGGCCTTTGCACCTACAGATCTGACCTCTCTCCCCTCCCCCATACTCATCTCCCTGGAGCCACACACCGGCAGAAATCTTGTGTCCACCAGCTTCATCCAGCCACAGTGGCCGGCTGCAGTCATGACTGGAATCTAATGCCCCTTCCCTCAGCAAGGGCAGAACTTCATCCTGAATGCAGCCCAGAGGGTCCTGGGGGAAGGAACAAGAAACCATGAGGGCAGCGAATGCCCATCCAAGTGTACACTTCAAAGCCTCCCTGGGAGCTCAGCAGGGAGTCATGCTGCACTATTGCCTGGTCTGGTGAGCACACACAGTGGTTGTGGTGCTCTCGGTCAGCCAGGAAGGTGTGTCCGAGTGGACCTCAAGGACCACAGCATGGGTCCCCAAGGAAGTCACCTGTTCACAGAGGTGTGCATTGCCCTCTCCCTCCCTCTGTGTCTGGCCAGGTGGTCGGGAACATCCTTTCCCTCAGCTGCTGTGACTCACATCCATAAAGACATCGCCCAAGTTCAACCCAAGGACATGTTTCTTACAGGTCCCCATACACCCATCTTCCCAAGACTGTGAGCTCTTTTGGGAAGAAACTGGCTTCATTTTCACCTGTGTCTCCACCTTAGTCTGGCACACAATAAGTGATCAATAAGAGTTGGGTGGATGGATGGATGGATGGATAGGTATGTGGATGGATGGTGAATGGATGGATGGATGATAGATGGGTGATGACGTGATAGGTGAATGGGTGGGTGGATGATGAATGGTGCAAAGATGAATAGGTGAATGGGTGGATGGATGAATAGTGGATAGGGGGACAGGGAGTGGATGGATGAATAGATGGTTGGATGCATTGTTGTTCTAAGTGCCATCTAGTCAGTTCTGTCTCATAGTGACACTGTGTAGGGTTTCTGCTACTACAATTTGTCACACTGTGGTGGCTTGCATATTACTGTGATGCTGGAAGCTATGCCACTGGTATTTTGAATTCTGTCAGGCTCACCCATGGTGGACAGGTTTCAACTGAGCTTCCAGATGAAGACAGACTAGGGAGAAGAGGCAGATGACTTTCAAGTGTTTAATCACTGAAAATCTTATGAATACCAGTGAAACACTGTCAGATAGCACCAGAATACTGAATATTGAAACATGATAAACAGCATCAGAATGTTGTCAGACATAGTGTCATAGATGAGCCGCTCAGGTTGGAAGGCACTCAAAAAACAACTAGGGAAGCGCTGCCTCCTCTAAGTAGAGTTGGCTGTGATGATGCAAATGGAGTAAAGTTTTCAGAACCTTCATTTGCTGGTGAGGTACAACTCAAAGTGAGGAATAGCTGCAAAGATCCATTAATAATCGGAACATGGAATGTACAAAGTATGAATCTAGGAAAAATGGAAGTTGTCAAAAATTAAATAGAACACATAAACTAAACATCAATATCCTAGTCATTAGTGAGCTGAAACGGACTTGTATTGGCCATTTTGAATCTGACAGCCACATGATTTGCTATGATTGGAATGACCAACTGAAGAGTAATGGTGTAACTTTCATCATCAATAAGAACATTTAAAGATCTATCTTGAAGTACAGTGTTGTCTGTGATAAGATAATACCAACATACCCACAAGGAAGACCAGTATATACCACTATTATTTAAATATATGCAGCAACCACTGAAATCAGTGATGATGAAACTGAAGAATTCTACCAACTTCTTCAATCTGAAATTGATCAAACATGCAGTCAAGGCAGCAACAATGGGCTCAAGCTTAACAAAGATTGTGAGAATTGTGTAGAACTGGACAGTGTTTTGTGCTGTTGTGCACACGGTTACTGGGAATCAGAATCGACTGGATGATACCTAGCAACAGCATAAAGTGGCTGATGAGCGTCTGCTGGTCTAGAACTGCCAACCTTGTGGCTCAAACCTAGCTTGCAGGTCAGTGTTTCACCCCAATCCTGAAAGGACTCACTTTCAGACCACAAATCACACATCATCCCACTTCCCAGTCACAGCTCCCTGCCCTCCTGCTCCCTCGGCCATACCTGTGTTCACTTTTTATGGGACGGGAAAGGTAGAGTAAGAAGTAAAATTTAGTGTTGGGACCATAGCTAGGTCTAGGCTAGGCCTAGGACTTCGTTTAATGTTAGGACTAGGGTTAGTGTTAGGGTAGGGCTAGGAGTAAGGTTCGGTCTGGTTTTTAGGATTATTGTTGTTGTGAAGTGCCATCAAGTTGATTCCAGCTTACAGTGACCCTGCATACGGTTTCTGTGGAGCAGCTGCTGGATTTGAACCACTGACCTTTTGGTTAGCATTCCAGTGCTTATCGTACAGCACCACATCAGGACTCCAGTTTTTAGGATTAAATGAAGAGGAAATCAAGTTGTAGAAACAAATAAATAGATAAGAACAAACCTAACTAGTTTTTAGGATTACAGTTAGGTTTATTTTTGGTTTTATTTTTCCTTGAAATCTACTTTATTTCCTCTTCATTTGGAAATTCTGCAATTGGATTATTCCCTCTTTTTACTTTATGGTTTTTGTTGTTGCTACAATTGTATCTCTGGTTCTCTGTTTTCAGTCTTGCTG